GACTGACTGTCACAACATCCAAGAGTACTGTATCATATATGCAAAAAGACTGGTGGACAATGAAAAAGTATATTTATTCAAGTACCGTACATAAGCACATTGTTTAAGTACCTGTTCTTCACCTATTATTTGCATTTCCTGATATATACATTATACTACTTCACTACAATTGAGAGACACATTTTGTTCTATTAATTTGAATGCTTCAGTTAAGAAGATTCATATTGGGATTAATAGTTGAATTAAGTATCAACAAATAAGTTATTATTTGCTATGTGAGGTTAGGATAAAACTTGGATAAACTTGAAAGATAAAATGGAAATTCACAAGTTACGCTGCAGTATTTAGTATTACAAATTAAGCTCCTTTTTTCACACGCTGCAACATTAATACACATACTTTATATAAATAATAATATATAAAGATCTTTCTTAAAAGGACCGAATCATTAGAATCAGTTATTTGTTACATACAATAAAGAGTGCCAACCATAATGCTGTGTTCAAATTTCAACATTTTCCTTATGATCATGCCATGTATTTTATAATGTTTGTGTACATGTTCACACAGAAGTCCAAAAGGAGGATTGAATCATGCTTTTTTTCCCTGTTCTTTGTGATGTAAGAGCATACATGAAACCTGCTTCCTGCTGTGTTGCAGCTGATCCACCTGGAGATCAAGCCAGCCATCAGGAACCAGATCATTAGAGAGCTGCAGGTGCTTCACGAGTGTAACTCCCCCTACATTGTGGGATTCTACGGAGCTTTCTACAGCGACGGAGAAATCAGCATCTGCATGGAGCATATGGTACTTATCTTTAATAACTTCTGGCTGCCAGTGTGTTTATACAGCGTTCACTTTGAGTGCTGCTTTACAGACTGTGCTGTGAGTGTCTGGCATGCGTTTCCCTGCATGTACAACCTCATTAGTATTGAAGGATTTTGTTTAATTGGGTTGCAATGCATAAAGGATATTTGAATTTCAAAGAGTTCTTTCAGTAAATACTGTTTATATTTGAATCCTCTGCTGGCTGTAGGACGGTGGATCCCTGGACCAGTCGCTGAAGAAGGCAGGCAAGATCCCGGAGCAAATCCTCGGCAAAGTCAGCATCGCTGTGGGTAGCTCCAACACCTCCTTCCAGTTTCATGCTCTGGACGTCACACTAGAGCTACATTTGTTTTCTTTTTGATGCAAATGTGCGAGCACATTATGTCTATTGCACGACTAAATAATGTAAATCTCTTTCTGCACTGATATGCAATATGTGTCTTTCCAGGTCATTAAGGGGCTTGCCTACCTGAGGGAGAAACATAAGATCATGCACAGAGGTAAATTACTATTTCATTTACTAAAAGATGCTATACATTTATGAATGAATACTAAGCTTATGTGTGCTGTTAATAAGCTCACATGATGCGGAGCATTGTTCTCGACCTCACAGTAATTCCCTGTTTTGAATGCAGAGTAGATCTGTGTTGTACCTGTAAATAATGAAAGGAAATGTTATAACAGACAAGCACACGGTACACAGCATGCATTGAGGCTTTGCAGCAGTTCCTCTGTGGAACTGTCTGTTCCCTCTTGAACACTTGCCCAATATTTTGTTGTCTCTCTTTCAGATGTCAAGCCTTCTAACATCCTCGTGAATTCCCGCGGTGAGATCAAGCTGTGCGACTTTGGAGTGAGCGGACAGCTCATCGACTCCATGGCCAACTCCTTTGTGGGCACCCGCTCTTACATGTCTGTGAGTTATAAAGGACACACTCCTGCTTTCCAGCTGCTCTCATTCACACATAAGCATTTACAATTCCTGTTCCAGAGTGTCACAGATGTATCTCTAAGGCAACAAGACACTCACAAATTAACTGGGACTGTCTATACATTTATATCAAGTATGAAAATATCCTTTAAGCATCAGCTATGTTAAGGTAGGCTATGCTTACAGCACTGGAACATGGGACAATAAAAAAAAAACACTTAGATTTGTCATTACATACAGTGGGGCAAAAAAGTATTTAGTCAGCCACCAATTGTGCAAGTTCTCCCACTTAAAAAGATGAGAGAGGCCTGTAATTTTCATCCTAGGTATACCTCAACTATGAGACACAACATGAGAAAAAAAATCCAGAAAATCACATTGTCTGATTTTTAAAGAATTTATTTGCAAATTATGGTGGAAAATAAGTATTTAGTCAATAACAAAAGTTCATCTCAATACTTTGTTATATACCCTTTGTTGGCAATGACAGAGGTCAAACGTTTTCTGTAAGTCTTCACAAGGTTTTCACACACTGTTGCTGGTATTTTGGCCCATTCCTCCATGCAGATCTCCTCTAGAGCAGTGATGTTTTGGGGCTGTCGCTGGGCAACACAGACTTTCAACTATCTCCAAAGATTTTCTATGGGGTTGAGATCTGGAGACTGGCTAGGCCACTCCAGGACCTTGAAATGCTTCTTACGAAGCCACTCCTTCGTTGCCCGGGCGGTGTGTTTGGGATCATTGTCATGCTGAAAGACCCAGCCACGTTTCATCTTCAATGCCCTTGCTGATGGAAGGAGGTTGTCACTCAAAATCTCACGATACATGGTCCCATTCATTCTTTCCTTTACACGGATCAGTCGTCCTGGTCCCTTTGCAGAAAAACAGCCCCAAAGCATGATGTTTCCACCCCCATGTTTCACAGTAGGTATGGTGTTCTTTGGATGCAACTCAGCATTCTTTCTCCTCCAAACACGTCTAGTTGAGTTTTTACCAAAAAGTTCTATTTTGGTTTCATCTGACCATATGACATTCTCCCAATCCTCTTCTGGATCATCTAAATGCTCTCTAGCAAACTTCAGACGGGCCTGGACATGTACTGGCTTAAGCAGGGGGACACGTCTGGCACTGCAGGATTTGAGTCCCTGGCGGCGTAGTGTGTTACTGATGGTAGCCTTTGTTACTTTGGTCCCAGCTCTCTGCAGGTCATTGACTAGGTCCCCCCGTGTGGTTCTGGGATTTTTGCTCACCGTTCTTGTGATCATTTTGACCCCACGGGGGTGAGATCTTGCGTGGAGCCCCAGATCGAGGGAGATTATCAGTGGTCTTGTATGTCTTCCATTTTCTAATAATTGCTCCCACAGTTGATTTCTTCACACCAAGCAGCTCATCTATTGCAGATTCAGTCTTCCCAGCCTGGTGCAGGTCTACAATTTTGTTTCTGGTGTCCTTTGACAGCTCTTTGGTCTTGGCCATAGTGGAGTTTGGAGTGTGACTGTTTGAGGTTGTGGACAGGTGTCTTTTATACTGATAACGAGTTCAAACAAGTGCCATTAATACAGTTAACAAGTGGAGGACAGAGGAGGCTCTTAAAGAAGAAGTTACAGGTCTGTGAGAGCCAGAAATCTTGTTTGTTTGTAGGTGACCAAATACTTATTTTACCGAGGAATTGACCAATTAATTCATTACAAATCCTACAATGTGATTTCCTGGATTATTTCCCCCCATTCTGTCTCTCATAGTTGAAGTGTACCTAGGATGAAAATTACAGGCCTCTCATCTTTTTAAGTGGGAGAACTTGCACAATTGGTGGCTGACTAAATACTTTTTTGCCTCACTGTACATGTCACTGTATGTAATGAATTTCAGCTTTGTTGCATGTCAATCTTTATGCAAATCACTAACTGATTTTTTCATTTGTGCTGTGCAGCCGGAGCGTTTACAAGGCACCCATTACTCAGTTCAGTCGGACATCTGGAGTATGGGTCTGTCCCTGGTTGAAATGGCCATTGGACGCTTCCCTATCCCTCCACCTGATGCTAGGGAGCTTGAACAGATTTTTGGCTACCCAGTGGAAGGAGAGGCAGCCTGCGGCGAGTCCTCCCCAAAGCCACAGCCCCCCGGGCGGCCAGGCAGCAGTAAGTCTGACATTAAGCAGGGGTTTTAAATTACAGCATGTTTACCACAATAAAACTGACAGCATCGTGATGAAATAGTGACCTTGAGTGATGACAGTGAAGCATGAAAGAGACTGACATCTTTTTTGTTTTTACCACCAGCATACAGTTCCGACAGACCACCAATGGCTATATTTGAGCTTCTTGATTACATAGTAAATGAGGTGAGTGGGCTCATCATGTGATCGCATCCCCACACGGACATATCTGTCAACTGCTGTATCAATACAATTGCCATCTACTTACCATTTCATCATTAAATATGCAGTGCTGACCAGACCTTTTAACATTTCAGCCTCCACCCAAGCTGCCCGGGATATTCAGCTCTGAATTCCAAGACTTTGTGAACAAATGGTATGTTGGGAAATATTTACTGGCATCATACACCAAACCGATATAAACATCTGCAGACTTTCTGCCATCCAGTGGTGTTAAACTACATTACACTCAGATAATGTGTCTCTTTTACAGTTTGGTGAAGAATCCTGCAGAGAGAGCGGACCTTAAGCAGTTGACGGTAATAGTCTTTATTTACCAGTTTTATTATTCCCTAAATATTTCTCTATAGCAATTTAACACTTTCTTCCTTAGGTGCATTCTTTTATCAAGCAGTCTGAGGCAGAGCAGGTGGACTTTGCAGGCTGGCTGTGCAGTACCATTGGACTCAACCAGCCTTTGACACCCACCCACAGTACAGCTATGTGAGGCCTGATGCGTGTACAGCATACTCCATATCCCAAGATCCTCTGATGAATGGATTTATATCATGAGTAAAATGTATCAGTTTATACAAAGTACGAAATGGGTTTAAAAGTTGTATATTTAGTGTACAACCTACATGCCAAGTGAAATTAATATGTATTCAATAAGGCTACATTGCGGGCCTGACTGAAAGCCATCTTTTTCTAATGATCAAATTATTTAATCATGACAAATGCTGCTCAACCTGTGTGCTTGATTTACCTCTGCCTTGTGTCCTTACAGCGCCAACAGATTATAGTCTTTGTTAGCTTTTGTGAAATAAATAGTCTTGTGAATCAATTTTAAACAACATGTCTGACTCGTTCATTTGAAATCAAATATTTATTCATTCATTATATGACTGGTTTGGCAGTTCTGTGTTTCCAGGAATCTTCTTGGGCTTCAGTATCTTGGTTTAGATCTATGGAGAGAACAAATACGTTTTTTAAATTTACATACATTTAAGGCTAAAGCACTTGCTTCCATTGGTTAGTAATACACTTTGTGTCGCTCAGGACTTCCATATAATCAGGGTTCAGAAACACGGACCGGAAGTAGGAAACTCATCACAGTTGACAAGCTATAAATATATTTTAGAACCTAGTTAGCGGTGCTTACGTTTGTGTAGGAAGTGCCTTCTGGATCTCCTCACTGTTCAGATTCCTGGTGTAAAGGTTTAGCGTTATCCTGAAGTTCTTTAGGGACTCTTCTTCTGCACTCTGCAGTTGATGTTCCTGTGATGAAAACACAACCCAATCTTAATATGAACTTCTGCTCAAGAAAAATGTCATTAAGGCTTTTGTTGCTCAGGACTTCCATATAATCAGGGTTCAGAAACACGGACCGGAAGTAGGAAACTCATCACAGCTCATAAGTTAAAATAAATATAAAGAACTTTAGGCGCTTACCTAGGTGTACGAAGTGCTTTCTGGATCTCCTCACTCTTCAGAACCACCAGTTGGACCTCAGGGATTTCCTCAATGTGGTAACCTAAAAGACAAGATACTCATAGTCAACAAAAGCTATCCACAAAAACGTTGGATGGCTTTGACTGTGGTGTTGCTATTGCTTGCTCAGAAACTCAGACTCGTCAATGCCTTATGACAGCTTAACGACAGCAGGCCACTGTCACTGTTCACAGGCTCAGACGCAAATTACACCATCATGGCAAGATAAATGTTACGCTGTGTATATCAATCAACATTTCTAAACCCATTTTTGGACCATGGACCAATACTTTGTGTTGCTCAGGACTTCCATATAATCAGGGTTCAGAAACACGGACCGGAAGTAGGAAACTCATCACAGTTAACAGGCTGAAATAAGTGTAAATAACTTAAGGTGCTTACGTAGGTGTAGGAAGTGAATTTCTCCAAATCTCAGACCCGTGTGTGTTGATGATCGTGTGCATGGGCAGGCTGTAATAAACAGCTGCCAGGCACGATTGTTCAGTTTGGTCAATATCATCAAGTTCTTCAAAGGATTCTTCTTCAGCACTCTGCAGTTGATGTTCCTGTGATGAAAACACAACCCAGTCTTAATATGAACTTCTGCTAAACAGACATTTTATTTCAGGCTTTTGTTGCTCAGGACTTCCATATAATCAGGGTTCAGAAACACGGACCGGAAGTAGGAAACTCATCACAGTCAACAGGCTGAAATAAATGAAAACAACTTAAGGTGCTTACGTAGGTGTACATAGTGCTGTCCAAATCTCAGACCCCTGTTGATGATCGTGTGCATGGGGAGGCTGAAATAAACAGCTACCAGGCACGATTGTTCAGTTTGAGCATTATCCTCAAGTTCTTCAGAGGACTCTTCTTCAGCACTATGCAGTTGAAGTTGTTCCTGTAATAAAAACAGAACCCAGTCTTAATATGAACTTCTGCTAAACTACAATTTTGTTAAGGCTTTTGTCGCTCAGGACTTCCATATAATCAGGGTTCAGAAACACGGACCGGAAGTAGGAAACTCATCACAGCTGACAAGCTAAACATATTTTAGAACTTAGTTAGCGGTACTTACATTTGTGTAGGAAGAGCCTTCTGGATCTCCTCACTGTTCAGATTCCTGGTGTAAAGGAATAGCGTTATCCTCAAGTTCTTTAGGGACTCTTCTTCAGCACTCTGCAGTTGATGTTCCTGTGATGAAAACAGAACCCAGTCTTAATATGAACTTCTGCTAAACTACAATTTTGTTACGGCCTTTTGTTGCTCAGGACTTCCATATAATCAGGGTTCAGAAACACGGACCGGAAGTAGGAAACTCATCATAGCTCACAGGCTGAAATAAGTGCAAACAACTTAAGGTGCTTACCTAGGTGTACATAGTGCTTGTCCAAATCTCAGATTTGTGTTTATTATCATGTGCATGGGCAGGCTAGAAATAAACAGCTGCCTGGCACGATTGTTCAGTTTGAGCAATATCTTCAAGTTCTTCGGAGGACTCTGCAGTTGACATTGTTCCTGTAATGAAAACAGAACCCAGTCTTAGTATGAACTTCTGCTAAACTACAATTTTGTTAAAGGCTTTTGTTGCTCAGGACTTCCATATAATCAGGATTCAGAAACACGGACCGGAAGTAGGAAACTCATCATAGCTGACAAGCTAAAATGATATGTTAGAACCTAGTTAGCGGCGCTTACGTTTGTGTAGGAAGTGCCTTCTGGATCTCCTCACTTTTCAGATTCCTGGTGTAAAGGTTTAGCGTTAGCCTGAAGTTCTTTAGGGATTCTTCTTCAGCACTCTGCAGTTGATGTTCCTGTGATGAAAACAGAACCCAATCTTAATATGAACTTCTGCTAAACAGAAATGTTATTTAAGGGTTTTGTTGCTCAGGACTTCCATATAATCAGGGTTCAGAAACACGGACCGGAAGTAGGAAACTCATCACAGTTAACAGGCTGAAATAAGTGAAAACAACTTAAGGTGCTTACGTAGGTGTACATAGTGCTTGTCCAAATCTCAGATTTGTGTTGATGATCGTGTGCATGGGCAGGCTGAAATAAACAGCTGCCAGGCACGATTGTTCAGTTTGAGCATTATCTTGAAGCTCTTCGGAGGGCTCTTCGGAGGGCTCTTCGGAGGACTCTTCTTCAGCACTATGCAGTTGACGTTGTTCCTGTGATGAAAACAGAACCCAGTCTTAATATGAACTTCTGCTAAACGGAAATGTTATTTAAGTCTTTTGTTACTCAGGACTTCCATATAATCAGGGTTCAGAAACACGGACCGGAAGTAGGAAACTCATCACAGTTGACAAGCTATAAATATATGTTAGAACCTAGTTAGCGGCGCTTACGTTTGTGTAGGAAGTGCCTTCTGGATCTCCTCACTGTTCAGATTCCTGGTGTAAAGGTTTAGCGTTAGCCTGAAGTTCTTTAGGGATTCTTCTTCTGCACTCTGCAGTTGATGTTCCTGTGATGAAAACAGAACCCAGTCTTAATATGAACTTCTGCTAAACAGAAATGTTATTTAAGTCTTTTGTTACTCAGAACTTCCATATAATCAGGATTCAGAAACACGGACCGGAAGTAGGAAACTCATCACAGCTCATAAGTTAAAATAAATATAAAGAACTTTAGGCGCTTACCTAGGTGTACGAAGTGCTTTCTGGATCTCCTCACTCTTCAGAACCACCAGTTGGACCTCAGGGATTTCCTCAATGTGGTAACCTAAAAGACAAGATGCTCATAGTCAACAAAAGCTATCCACAAAAACGTTGGATGGCTTTGACTGTGGTGTTGCTATTGCTTGCTCAGAAACTCAGACTCGTCAATGCCTTATGACAGCTTAACGACAGCAGGCCACTGTCACTGTTCACAGGCTCAGACGCAAATTACACCATCATGGCAAGATAAATGTTACGCTGTGTATATCAATCAACATTTCTAAACCCATTTTTGGACCATGGACCAATACTTTGTGTTGCTCAGAACTTCCATATAATCAGGGTTCAGAAACACGGACCGGAAGTAGGAAACTCATCACAGTTGACAAGCTATAAATATATTTTAGAACCTAGTTAGCCGTGCTTACGTTTGTGTAGGAAGTGCCTTCTGGATCTCCTCACTGTTCAGATTCCTGGTGTAAAGGTTTAGCGTTAGCCTGAAGTTCTTTAGGGATTCTTCTTCTGCACTCTGCAGTTGATGTTCCTGTGATGAAAACAGAACCCAGTCTTAATATAAACTTCTGCTAAAGAAAAATGTTGTTAAGGCTTTTGTTACTCAGGACTTCCATATAATCAGGGTTCAGAAACACGGACCGGAAGTAGGAAACTCATCACAGCTCATAAGTTGAAATAAATATAAAGAACTTTAGGCGCTTACCTAGGTGTACGAAGTGCTTTCTGGATCTCCTCACTCTTCAGAACCACCAGTTGGACCTCAGGGATTTCCTCAATGTGGTAACCTAAAAGACAAGATGCTCATAGTCAACAAAAGCTATCCACAAAAACGTTGGATGGCTTTGACTGTGGTGTTGCTATTGCTTGCTCAGAAACTCATACTCGTCAATGCCTTATGACAGCTTAACGACAGCAGGCCACTGTCACTGTTCACAGGCTCAGACGCAAATTACACCATCATGGCAAGATAAATTGTAAGCTGTATATCAATCAAAAATGTCTAAACCCATTTTTGGACCCACGAAGTGAAAGCTCACAACTTAAAAGTGTATCGTGCGATTGCTCCTTAGAATACTCACTTTTAGTCGACCTTCAGGGAAGCAGGATACGCCAGGTGCCGCACAGCTCATCAAGGGAAGGAGGCAATGAAAGCTAAGTAATTTACAATAAGAAAAACGTTATCATATTGTGATATCCATTTACTAACAGTAGTAAATTCTACAATTTGAACAACAAACCTGGGATTTCTCTGAAGGCTTTGGTGGCGGTCTTGGCTTTAGATGTGCTCTTCTGCGTTAGATTAATCTGAGATTCTTCCTCTTGCCACCAATCAATCCACTCACCTTGTAGACCGGTCTTCAGGAGTATCCTTTTATCGAACCCATCTCGGCAGAGCAGGTCAGTCGTGTGGACCCATTGGACTCTGCCTGTGATAACCACCATACAGCTATGTCTAGGTCTACAGGAAACCTCTCATCCGTACATCCCGATGGCCGAGTTTGTCTTACTGATAAATTAATCAATTTATATTAAGTTATAAATTAGATAAACACACTATGAATATATTTTTATTTAGTTTCTAGATCTATATAAAAGCCATCGTGCGTCATTACCTTTTATAACCATAACGAATGCTCAACATGTGCTTTATTCCTTTCTGAATTTTTCAATGAAAGGTCCGACTCGTTCATTTGAAACAAATGATTTATTGATCACTGAACCTAGTCAAGTTTAGAACTTTATGCCTTGGGTTTTTTAGGTGCTCCCTTCTTTCCAGGCTTCTTCTTGGGTTTCAGCATCTTAGCTTTGATCTATAGAGACAAAGAACAAGATGTCAAGTCACAATAAACTTTAAAATGTTAAGATTATGCTTCTAGCTTGAATTGTTAATTTACTTACAGCAGGGTTATGCTTGAGAATAGCATTACGTCTTGCTGTCTTGGCGTAAGGGTTGAGTTTGAGCATTATCCTCAAGTTCTTCAGAGGATTCTTCTTCAGCACTCTGCGGTGGATGTTCTTGCTGTAATGACAAAATAACAGTCTTAATATGAACTTCTGCTAAACAAAAATGTCGTTAAAAAGGCTTTTGTTGCTCAGGACTTCCATATAATCAGGGTTCAGAAACACGGACCGGAAGTAGGAAACTCATCATAGCTCATAAGTTGAAATAAATATAAAGAACTTTAGGCGCTTACCTAGGTGTACGAAGTGCTTTCTGGATCTCCTCACTCTTCAGAATCCTGCTCAAGTCTGTGTTGGTCATCTTGTGCATGGGCAGGCTGAAGCAAACAAGACATTGAACATTTAATTAAACATGTTGAAAATTAAGAAAATGACAAATCCTTTGATGCTCAACTCAGAACTTCTTTTAATATCACAGAGTTTCAAAAACACGGACCATGAAGTGGAAGCTCATCACAGATCTGATCATAAGCAGTTGTGCTACAGGGAGATTGCTCCTTAAGTACTTACGTGTATCCGGCCTTCAGGGAAGCGGGTTTACGCCATGTTCCGTACAGGTCATCCAGCTTGCGGAAAGCACTCTCGGTCCAGATGCAGAAGCGTCCAACGTGACCACCAGGGGCGAGCCTCAGGAGGTTCAGTTTGTTCACGTTCTGCAGAGTGATACCTTCATACAGGAAAATAGCAACACTCAGGTTTAATGATCTTGTTTGATTTAAATAGGAATTTGAATGTTGAAAAACATATACAATTGGCACCAAAACAAAATATTCAAAAAACGTAGGGATAGGAATTTATTTTAAGTTTATAGCCCCATCGGTGGGCATCCACTACCTCCTGAGACAGAGGAATTTAAACTATACATCTGTAGGTTTAAGCTAACTTCATGACAGCCATTTACCTACATCTGTATACCAAACACACCTGGGATATTTCTGAAGGCTTTGGTGACACCGCCGTCTTGGTTGTAGATGATGCATGGCCCTCTGCGTTGGATACGTCTGCGGTTCCTCATCTTACCCTTACCGGCACGCATGCGCTGAGAAGCGTAGACCTAAGAAAAGAATGTACATATTTAAATACTTTAATAAAGCCAGAAAAAGAGGCCTTACTGGCAGGACACATTCCATTTGAAAATGTTAAATTACCTTCTTAATGTCATTCCAGGCCTTGAGCTTCTTCAGCAGAAGCACTGCCTCCTTGGTCTTCTTGTAGCCCTCAACTTTGTCTTCAACAACCAGTGGGACCTCAGGGATTTCCTCAATGCGGTGTCCTAAACGTCAAGATAATCTTAGTCAACAAAACCTATCTACAAAAACTTCAGATGGCTTTGACTTTAGTTTTGCTCTAGCTTGCTCAGAAACTCATACTCGTCAATGCCTTATGACAGCTTAACGACAGCAGGCCACTGTCACTGTTCACAGGCTCAGACGCAAATTACACCATCATGGCAAGATACATGCCTAGCTGTATATTAAAGAAAATGTCTAAACCTATGTTTGTCTTCACAAATGTTTTGGAGCTTACCCTTGGCCATTACAAGAGCGGGAATGGCAGTTGCAGCCACGGCAGAGCAGATGGCATAACGCTTCTGGGTTGTGTTGATTCTGCGGTGCCAGCGACGCCAGGTTTTGGTGGGGGCGAACATACGACCTCCACGACACATCTAGACCCAAGTCAAGGAGGTTTTGACAACAACTGAAGTAACACAGTATTCGAGTTCTAAATACCTGCTCAGACTCAAGGATCGTCAGCCATCTGTGCCAGCATATGACAGCAGGCATACTGTCACTGGTCACAGAGTAAGTCGCAAATTACACCATCATTGCAAGTCTTTTGTGTCAGCTCTTCTAGCTATACTCAAATAAATAAGAAAAAAAAAGCTCACATTTTGGTTGAAAAGGATACATTTCCAAAAGCACCCTGGCCAGAGCGGTGTGTACCACCACCCCTCACACGAGGGATACGGGCCACAGCTCTTCCTGTTCCCCAGGACTCTGCACTGGTCTGGTGGCCTGAAATAAACACAATCACACAAGTTACAAACAATAGATGTTGTGAATGCATGCACTCAGGAAACTTTTTAAATAAAATCCTGTAACCTGCAAGTTCAAGTCAAATACACACTCACCGGCCAATTCACTGACTGCATAAGGCTGGCGGCTGTTCTTGCGCATGTTGGTGTGAACGAAATTCACAACATCAGGGCGAATTGGAGCCTTGAACACAGCAGGCATGACAACATTCTTGCCAGAGGATTCTCCTTTCTCGGAGTAAACCGAGATCAGGGGTCGGGCACAAGCCTAGGAAGCACATTTAACAACATTGAGAAACAGATCCATTGGGATGATTAATAGAACGTCATGTACACTGTAAACTATGTAGGGTCTTTTAGAGAAATGTAAATAATTTAAACCCGTCTTAAGAACCAGCAAACCCATCTCTTAACATGTGGGGGCCTCAAACTACTTACATTAACTTTAAAACAATCTGATACAACTTGGTGCAATTGGTGACACGTCAAATCAAGTGCACCTCGCACGAAAATAGCAGATCATTAAAGTGTTAAGACATTTTCGATTTACCGTGAAATGTCAGGCTGTTGGCCTTAGCCTAGCCTAAGTGTGCTAACATGAGTTAGCTAGAGAAAAATTAAAGCATTATAGATGGTGTTAACGCAGTTGAAGGCATGCAATTAAGTCTCATGACATTAGCATGAACAAAACAAAAAAAATAGACCCCATTTAACGAAGTGCTATCTGATAGCTGCGTGTAACATATCTAGCACTCAGGCGACAGGCACACGTGTAACTTGGTCTACTGAAGCTGTTCGTCCAAAATGGCTCCTCGTGTTAGCTTCGCTAGTCGGGAGCATTCCATCTCGCTCCACTTTGAACCCGAATTTAAGCTTACCACAGACAATCAATACGGCTTTATTTAGCACCGAAATACATTCTAACTTACAGAACAACCTTTCCATAGCGATCTGAGGGGTATTTCTTACCATTTTCGTTTATTTATTTTAGGCTCGCCGTGAACCAAGCTCCTTACGGTATGGCGGCCACAGTAAAAAGGAAGTGTGTAAGTCACCCGTACAGCTTTATGCCTCCGCCTTGACGAGTATCACTTCCGCCGACGGATTATTTTTCACAATTGTCTTGCTTACCGCACGGAAACACACCTGTTACATTTGTAGATTAGTAACAAATTATTGCGTTGCTATTTTTACTTAAAATCACACTGCTAAACAAAACAACCTTAAAGTAAGTAGCTTCGGTGGGGACTATTTCTTTACGCCATGTTGGCGCACGGTGAACGGAAAGCCCGAACTACCTCCTTAGTAAACGTTTCCTACAACAAATATTATTTAATTTCTATGTATTTTACATTTTATTTGTGGTTATGTTATATATGCACTACGGCTATTTAAATCATCACATTTAAGTGTAAACTGAAAAATAAAATAAAATAAAATTATGACCTGTAACCTCATGACGTCAGGACCCAAGTCAGCGCGCGAGTATCAAACATAACAACAGTAGCAGCTCAAACTTCACTCTGCTAACTTCTCTTCTATTTTCTGCATGTTATTAGTTCTGTAACAAGTAATCCATTTTTTTGTTTTGCGATGGGCTCAAGGGTGATCTCCAGTGCAAAGGAGTTTTACAATACTCTTCGGTGAGTCTACTTTTGGGTGCTCAACGTTACCAATGTTGCTTGTTTAGCCTTTTTAAGCTAACGTCAGATGATTGCTAGGCAGTGAATGAACTGTCACCCTTTATGTAGAATAATATTGAACCAATCTTGTTGTAGTAAGGTGTTTTTTTCGTTTGTTTGAAGATCTCTCCAAGATCAGGAAAGCAACAATCCATTGATCTATGAGGTATTTCATTATCCCTTAATACAAATCTGTCGTGTATGTATCTATTAATGATGTTGATAAAGTATCTGATTGATTTCAGGAGGACACTCAAATCTTAAAGATGAATGGAAACAAAATCCCTGTGCTGAATATATACTGTGGAAACCAGCCTGTCTTCATTAGTGAAAAACCTGTGAGTATTCTTAATGTTATTAAGAGATGTTAATAGTGTCTGCAAATCCTAGACAAGTATCGCTGTGTAATCTAAATAATATATATAAATAACTTTAAAACAATATATTAATGGCGATAATTGTATTGTGTAATACAATCCTGCATCATTGTTAAATCAAGGGATATTACTCCAGATACCTGCAGATATCCTTTTTGTTTATACAATTGTATGATAAGACCTTCCTATTGTTAACCATTGGATCATGTTTGTGTGATGTTCTATTTTTGTGATTTCAAAAGGTTCCAAAAATATATGAACCCGATGATCAACCAATGACTAAAACATCTAACTGCGCTAATGAAGGCAAGGCAAGGCAAGGCAAGTTTATTTATATAGCACTTTCCAACACAAGGCAATTCAAAGTGCTTTACAAAAAATGAAAGAGATTAAGAAAATGGCATTTAAAATCAGTCATTAAAAAGAAAAGCTAATAAAATAAACATTAAAAGAAAAAATACATGGATAAAAGTTACAGTGCAGTCAATTAAACATTAAAAGAAAAAGTACATGGATAAAAGTTACAGTGCAGTCTAAGATATGAATAGTTCAATTAAAAGCAGCGACAAAAAGAAAAGTCTTCAGCCTGGATTTAAAAGTAGTCAGAGTTGCAGCGGACCTGCAGGTTTCTGGGAGTTGGTTCCAGATATTTGGAGCATAATAACTGAACGCTGCTTTACCATGTTTAGTTCTGACTCTGGGGACAGAAAGCTGACCAGTCCCTGAAGACCTGAGAGATCTGGATGGTTCATAATTTAGCAGGAGGTCAGAAATGTATTTTGGGCCTAAACCATTCAGTGCTTTATAAACCAGCAGCAGTATTTTGAAATCTATTCTTTGACACACAGGAAGCCAGTGTAAAGACTTCAGAACAGGAGTGATGTGATCCACTTTCTTAGTGTTAGTGAGGACTCGAGCAGCAGCGTTCTGAATCAGCTGCAGCTTCCTAATAGATTTTTTAGTGAGACCTGTGAAGACACCATTGCAGTAGTCGAGTCTACTGAAGATAAAAGCATGGACAAGTTTTTCCAAATCCTGCTGTGACATTAGTCTTTTAATCCTAGATATATTCTTTAGGTGATAGAAGGCTGATTTAATAACAGTTTTAATGTGACTGTTGAAACTCAGGTCAGAGTCCACTGAATGAAGATACTGCTAATGAAGATACTGCTAATGAAGATGATGATGATGCTGAGGACGATGCCAATTCTCTCCCAGAATTGGGACCACAGCCGCTCACAATAATGGAAGCAAGGTGACCGATTCTAAGAAAACTTCATCTAAATGACACAGATCTAGTGGGTTTGTTTATAACCCATGTATCAAACACACTGTTGATGACAAACAAAATGTATTTTTGCTTTTTAGGCAGTTGCTGTCTTGGTACACATTATCTCAAAATGCTAATGTATCAGCTGTGGACAACAACCCTGCCTTACACCCGCTGTGGGTGCGATGTGACATGTCGGATCCGGCTAGAACAGCCTGGGTCGGAGCTGAAACCGTCTGCACGGGCAATAAAGTGTCTGCTGTCAAATTGTATTCCATTACCTGCAAGGGTATAACTCAAATGCTTTATACCTCTTTGAATAACCCTTTGTTGAAACTTTATCAGATAAGGGAATATTTGTTTTTCATTAACTTTGGCAATTGTGCTAATCCAACTTCATTTTTGTTAGGCTCTACTGTGGACAAAAAATCTCTCATAACCCTGGACGTGCTTAAACAGGAGCACAAGAAAAGGCACCCCCCATCCTCGGTATGAGCATCCTTTCTTGTAATTCAGTGTGAATTAATGTTCATTCACTTTCATCTGTTGATGCTTACAGACAGCGATTAAAGGCAGTGCCAGGTTCAGCTTGTTTGGCCCCACTGTTGTTGAAAACACCACGGTTGAGTCACAGAGCAGTGTGACGGTGGATTTCAAATGGAGCCATGTGGAGAGTGTCCTGGAGACCCCTCCCCTGTCCTCTACAGCAACACTGGTAAGCACCAGTAACCACATTTAAAACATTATCTTCCTTTAACATGAATGCTTACTTTTTATTAGGGATGCACGATAGTGGTTTTTTGAAACCGATACCGATAACTTCCTGCTTCTCAAGACCGATACCGATAACCGATAATAATATAATATATATATATATTAAATGTACCTGTAGTTTTTGCACACCTGGTGGTAAAAAAAAGACTAGCAGTGAGCAAATGACATGAGCATTACTACTATGAACAAAACAAAGCCAAGAACAGTTTTGACTCTTATCAAGCGCCATCATTTCTATGATGAAGTTGGAGATCGTTTTAGCCCTGGGGTCGTCTCTGGCAAACTTCTTGCCTTTTTCAAAAGCCTCGTCGATAG